GAACTAATAATAGGGATAAGACAGTGTGACAAAATATATCGATAAAAATTCTATACCCTACATATACCTAAATAAATAGAATGGACTCTATGGATAGATGGACTCCACCCGTAACGTCCATTATATTTATGTATCATATTAATATAATGCCAATATCATTCATCATCATTAAAGTCCTTCACAAGTCTAATGCTGAACATAGGCCTCCCCCAAGGAATGCCACAAAGCACGGTCCTGAGTCACCTGCATCCATCAACTTCCTGTATGTCTTACCAGGTTTTCACTCCATCTAGTGGGGAACTTCGGAAACTTCACCTGCCGGTACGAGGTTGCCACTCGAGAATATTTTTTCCCCATCGGTTATCGGTTCTTCAAGCTATATGGTCGGTCAATTGCCACTTCAGCTTACTAATCCATTGGGCGATATCGGTCACTCTGGTTCTACTGCTGATATCCTCATTCCTAAGTTTATCCTCCTAAGCTTTCCTGCTTCGGCAGTGCCTCGTATTCTAGAGGGCTTCACATATCGCAATCCATGGGTTCTTGATCGAACACCCAATTGCCTTTGTCGGTGGATGTTTCGGAAGAGGAAGCTGCCAAAAACCGTGAATGTAAACGATGGATAGAATTTGTAAATAAGAAATAAACTAAACTAGGGCCACTATGAAGTTGAAGCACAAATTAAATCTTGAGACTCGAGAGAGAATTAAATGTCTAGACTCGCACTTTCTAAAACCCCATGGTGTTCTACCTCCACCGCAGACCTGCACTACGGACTCCCCGAGCCCGATATGTGAATGGAGCCAGGAAAAAACGAGCACTTGGATGCATCAAGTGGTGCAGCCTCACCAAAGTCGTGAAGGATAGTCGAGTGGCATCGCATCGCCAATCGACTTCCATCCAATTTTAAATATGACAATTTAAATAAGACAACAGACTTTGGCATATTATGTCAATTTTAGTTTCCAAGACGACCGTTAGGGTGCTTCAAATTGGCACAGACATTTTGTATGGTATAGCCAGTCCAGCGTACTTGTATATATAGAGGTCAGTGCTCAAAAAAAATTGTTTAATTTTTTAGTCTGGAGATGGCGTTCTTCGCTCAGTAGAGAGTAATTGTGTTCTGTGGTGCAAATTAAGGGCCAGCTGTTTTAAATTTAGCACCACCTATATATACCACTATACCTACTACTACCTATACAGGATTATTATACATATATATCACTGACTTAGAATTATGGTATGGGTATATATCTCTATAATCTATGTAAAAACGGGATTATTTTTTTAAGAGTAACCAAATTTTATATTTAAGTTCAAATAAATAAATTAATATATACCGATATTACATTATTTGAAAATACAAGTAAATAGTGCTCCTATTTTAATTTCAATTTATCCCAATTTGAGTGTGATTTATGAGTAACAACTACTCTAACACGTGCTCCCGTGTGTGTGATTCATTTCACGTTTTCGTTTCTTAGTTTTTGTCTACTGTCTACTTTCTTAGTGATACGCTTTCTACTTTCCGCCTCTAGGTCCTTCAAAAGAGTCATTGCCATGGCAAAGTCAGAGCACATAGGCAGAATTGGCGAGAAACTAGTTCGCCTTCCTTCTGGAACCCGTGCATTCTGGTCTGAAGGTGTCCAGGGTAATTTCTGTCAGCCATCTCTTCCATCTCTGCACAGGGAGGACGACTCACTGGCCCATACCGCAAAGGAGAAAGCCGATCTTCTAGGCTCTTTCTTTGCGTCTAACTCGACTCTCGATGACGGGGGGAGTACTCCGCCGACCATCCCGCGGTGTGAGTGCTCCATGTCGGAAGTGCACTTCACACAGCGCTCGGTTCGCAAAGCACTCCTCTCCCTGGGCATCCACAAGTCGAGTGGGCCTGACGGAATCCCCCCAATTGTGCTGAGGACGTGTGCTCCAGTGTTGGCACCGGTTTTAACGCGTCTTTTTCGGTAATCCTACTCCCTAGACGTAGTCCCATAATCATGGAAGACGGCTTACGTCCACCCGATCCCTAAAAAAGGCTACCGCTCTGACCTGTCCAACTACCGGCCAATCGCCATCACCTCCTTGTTCTCCAAAACAATGGAGTCCATTGTAAACTGCCAGCTCATGAGGTACCTTGAAGATCACCAGCTGATTAATGACCGCCAATACGGTTTTCGCCGTGGTCGGTCAGCTGGTGATCTTCTGGTCTACCTAACTCACAAATGGGCGGAGGCAGTAGAGTTCAAGGGGGAGGCATTGGCCGTTAGTTTGGACATTGCGAAGGCCTTCGATCGGGTTTGGCACAAAGCGCTTCTTTCGAAGCTCCCTTCCTATGGGCTTCCCAAGAAATTGTGCGATTGGATCACCAGCTTTCTTGCAGATCGGAGCATCAAGGTCGTTGTAGACGGTGCAAGCTCCGATTGGAAGCCTATTAATGCTGGTGTTCCACAGGGCTGCGTGCTATCGCCAACGCTGTTTCTTCTGCATATCAATGACATGTTGCATACCCGTAACATTCATTGCTATGCAGATGACAGCACTGGTGATGCTCTTTACACCGGCCGAGCCAATATTTCTCGGGAAAACGTCTCCGAGTGCCGGGACAAACTTGTGTCTGAAGTCGAGTTCTACTGGACAGAGTCTCGGATCGGGGGCGACTAAATCTAGTCCAGTTTAACCCCCAGAAGACACAAGTTTGCGCGTTAACCGCTAAAAAGAACCCTTTTGTCGTATCCCCTCAGTTTCAAGGCACTCCCCTTGTTGCCTCAGCCAGTATCGGAATCCTTGGCGTCGACATATCGAGTGACGTGCAGTTTCGTGGTCACTTGGAAGGGAAGGCCAAATTGGCCTCTAAAAAGCTTGGCGTGCTCAGCAGAGCGGGACAGTATTTCATGCCGGCACACCGACTGCAACTTTACAAGGCGCAGGTTCGGCCGCACATGGAATACTGTTCCCATCTCTGGGCTGGGGCTCCCCAGTACCAGCTTCTTCCACTTGACCGCATCCAGCGCAGAGCGGCTCGAATCGTCGACGACCGAGTGCTTTCCGATCGGCTCGATTCACTGGCGCTGCGAAGAGATGTTGCATCTCTTTGCGTATTTTATCGCATCTATCACGAGGAGTGCTCTGAGGAATTGTTCGGATTAACCCGAGCCGCCAAATTTCGTGAACGCACTACACGTCAAACGTCCCGATACCATCCACACCATCTGGATGCTTGGCGGTCCACCACTGTACGTTTCACAAGGAGTTTTCTTCCACGTACAACCTCTCTGTGGAATAGTTTACCACCGGCGATTTTTCCGGACCGATACGACCTGGGGACCTTCAAGAAAAGAGCTTGCTCCTTTCTAAAGGGCCGGCAACGTACACGCAATTCTCCTGGTGTTGCGGTTGATCATGGGCGGCGGTAGTCACTTAACATCAGGTGAGCCGCATGCTCGTTTGCCCCTTCTTCTATAAAAAAAAACTTAAGCTTAAGATAATAACTACTTGACGCGAATTAGGATTCCAATTTTCCTTTTCCACTTTTAAGGGGTTCAGGGTATTCATAATAAATAAAATTAAAAAAAATTTTTTTGCTTATTAAATGTAACCGATGACTGTCCTTATTATAGCGTATTTAAAAAAAACTATTTACAACTAAATTTTACAAGTAGTCCCAATATCTAATATTTGTACCTTAAAATGGAATCCGTTTCTGGATGTGAATAACCAACACATCGTATATTAAATAACCGTTTATTTACAACATTAATTCAAAGTAGTGGATCGCAGCGCAAATGAACGGTCTGTCGGCGTCGGATGATAGTATCGAGTATCGATCACAGACCAACTAGTAGATTGAGTGAGGCGAGAAAAACCGAACTGGTTGCTTCCACGTCTGCACGGCCTGGAGTTTCAGAAGATTGTCGAACGGTCAAAAATGCCAGACCGTTCAATAAGCACACTCTTTATACACTTTTTAAGAATCGATGAATGCAGTCAAGTTCAAAAATTGATTTCAAGCAATGCTACCAAGACTTGAGCCAAAGCTCTATGACAACCGCTGCTTGAGAGCAGTGGTTGTTATGGATAATTCCCCATTCAAGACACTAGGAGAAAAGCCCAGTTACTGGTTGGAAAAACCAGACATCCTAAAAATGGTTTTCATCGAATCAATATTTTGAGGCAAAGTAAACAAAAGTCCAGCTCTTGGAAAAGGTACAAGATGTCAAAACTCAGTACAACCGTACGTGGTAGATGAAATGCCAAGAGCAGTTGGTGTGGAGGTATTGAAATTACTTCCATACCACTGCAAATTGAATTCCATCGAGCTAGTGTGGGCAGACGTCAAGGGGTATGTGGCCCGAAAAAATACAACATTTGAGATGGCAGATGTAAATAAGCTGCTCCAAAAGGCTTTAGGGAACATTTCAGCAGAAAAAACGCAAATTGGCATCAGTTACGTAAAAAAAAAGAGGAATCGAAATTAGATTGACTAGATGATAATGTAGACAAAACTGTTCATTCTTTTGTAACAAATGTGACACGTTGTCGGAAAGCAGTTACTCCGAAACAGAGAAACCGATTCTGATTTTTCATTTCCATTTTTTTATTTCTGCCAAATTAGTAATTGTACCTCGATATTTATAGCTGTTTTTACACTAAAATAAAAATAAATAATTGAAATAATAACAATAATTTATTTAATAAGTTAGTAATTTTTTTCCTACAAATATTTCATATAAACCACACTTAATACAAACGTAATATTTATGACCACTGTCAGTAGGCAAAGAGATCATTGGATGAAATTCTTCCTGCTCCGCTACTGGACTTTAGCTGTGTAGTATGCAATATTATGTAACCTAAGCAATCCATTACGCATCATTGACCTTTATATATATAAGTACGTTACGTATTGAAACAGCTAATACATAAAAATGTTTATTTTGGATTTGATATCAATGTAATACCAAAAAATTTAGTTATTGAAATTAATTTTTAATACCTCTGCTTTACTTCTCAGGATCAATAGTTAATTCTAAGAACACTTTGACTTCGTTCATAATTTTTAACGACATTTCCTCTGATTGTGACGATACCTCACTGCCTAATTCATACATAATTTTACGTAGATATTTACCAAGTCGACCATACATTGTCCAATCGATAAAGTTTTTTATAAAATCTCGGAATGGTTGAGACGTGTGCGTGCTATAAAAGTGGTCTAAATCAGATAAAATTACGTGGATTAATTGAACATCATATTCCATTTGTGTATCATTATAGTTTCCTATTTGTTCAAGTCGCAATTCAATTGTTTTTAGAACAGATTGTAACAAACTGGTAGTTGGAACATTCTTCGAGTACGCCATATCATTTAAAATAATTTGAAACTCACGAGCAGTAATGTCGCTTAGACGCGAATAAAATGTGCTTGCAAATAGCGCTTCGTAAAAGTATCTTATGAAAGATCTTACTTTATCTTCAGGTATATTTGTTAATTTTTTCAAGATAGCGTGCAGTGCTCTTGTACATTCAAATGATTTGATACAAATACTATATTGTGCACAAAGTTTCATTTCATAGTTGGACTCAATACTAACAATCGCTATTATTGATTTTTGAATCAAAATTTTTCGTTCATCTTTTTTTTCTAAATCAAAACTATTTGGGTTATCTGCTATATTATAAATAACTAACTTTTGGAATTTAGCACTGATTTTTTTAATTATGCTAATCCAGTAATATGATTCTTTTTCGTCGTTGATTTTACCATTGACAATTTTTAAAATCTTTCTCAAATCTCGTAAAATTTTGTTTATTTTGTCATAAAACTCTGTTTTAGAAAAAAATTCGTAAGAAGATTCTTTGAAAATACTTTTTATAGATATTATTTGTATTATAATATAATCATCAATTAACTGACTTAAAAGCCCAGTACAAAATTGTAAATCACGACACAGTTGTTTCGATTTTACCATTTTTACAATAACATCGTTTTCCTGACTCGACATGTCTCGTCTACCACTTGCAGGATTTGAATCCAAAAAGTAAGATAAGAAATCCATAACTTCTTTACCCAGCGTAAGGTGACCGTGGAGATTGACTTTCATTGTCGTTACAGCTTTTGCTAATACTGAAAAAAATACTGATGTTTAAAATACAATTGATGATGTTTTTTTTTTGTAATACTGCAATTAAAACTAAACTTAAATTTGAAAATATTCCTCAGACCGAGATTATCAGCTCCGCCTCGCCACTTATCCAATTTGGTGAGGTATGGCAAATTCATTGAAGCTACGCATGCTAGATGGTGCATTTTTAAATAGGCCCCTATGCAGTGGATATGTTGTGTGAACATAAAGGAAGACTGGTAAAAAGCATAAGAAAATTCTTTGCACCAATGGACTTAAAAGAAGGAAAAGAAGAATGTGCTAAAGTTCGCATTAAAAAGATTATCATTTACCAAGACATATATATATATATATATATATATGTTTACTGAATCGATTCCTATCATTTTTAATATAGGTAATTTTTTATCTATAATTAAAACTACGTAAATTACAGTCACACTAAATCTGTACAGTCAAAACAAACTCAAATGGACCGTAACTTAAGGCAATAAGACTTTTAAGAGTGCAGTTTTATTTGTATTATTACTAATTCTGTCATTCAATAAAAATAAAGAAAAATGAAGTTTATTTCAAGCACGTTTCTTTGCGTTCTGTACTCCACAAATTCTTCCTATATAACTATTTAAAAATCAGTGCAAAAAAGTTTAACTAAAATTCAGTGTATGTATTATGATTATAAGATAATATACTAATTGGGGTGTCAGAGGGTGTGCGTTAATTACGTTACATATTGTATATATATATATATGAAGGATTTGAAAATCGTGTATTTCATCTATCTTGTCTAGTGTTAATAGTGAATTAATGTTATGAATGTGCAAAAGGAGTAAAACTAAATAGAACAATTTTCAACATCGGAACATTTTTGTACTTTACTTATTATTGTATTTTTTTTTAAATATTATAGATCTACATAAAATGCTACGTTTTAAATACATGTTTAACCTTGGCTTGGACCTTGGCGGGACGTATCTGTCTTTCTTGCTGTACGTCCCGCCAAGGTCATGAACGACACATGACGCAAAGGACAGTGAATAAGGCGCTATTGTAAAAATTATATCTACGAAACGGGAGTAAATTTAAATGACGGTTATCTCTTCTTTCTACTTTGCGAATTATTTCTAGCAATGATATTGTCAAATCAAAAAGGCTTAAATGTCCAATTAAACGGTTACATTTATATTAATTTTAATTATTTAGATAACTAGCTTTTAATTAAACTACTGGTGCCGTTATTAATTTACAGAGTTAATTAAAAAAAACATGCGTGCAGCTCACACGCAACAGAAGTGAAACCTTCAAATGAAATGAAATATAAAATACAAATACTTCACGGCAAATTATTTACTTAATATTATAATTTTAACTACAAGTTCGGCATAAAATATATGGAAATGTAAATAAATATAATAATCCTTTTAATATATATTAGATTGATATACTTACGCGTGAAATGTGCGGCTTTTATAGCCCATTATACCGCATGACACCATAATAAGATATAAAGTCAAATAATTTTCTAGCTTAAAACGTACATACAATAATCGAGTTTTATTTGCAAATAAATTTTAAAACAAATAATAATCATGAAACACTCCGTGAAGGTTGCAGTGACTGCCAGTCTGCCACAAAATTTAATGCCAAACGGCTTGTTAGGTCGTACGGGAATAAGGACAACAATATATATAGCTATATCTCTTTCTTACAAGCGCTTATATGAAATATGCGTCGTTTGTTTTGTGAATGAATCAAAACATATCACGCTGTCTTCTCTGTCTACGATTGTCTTTGCCTGTGCATACACCGCATGGCACCACCCATTTTTGTCCTTTATAGACAAAGAGGGTACTGAGTCGGCTAAGTGTGAGCGAGAAGGAGTAAATAATTTTCTTGTACAAATTGGTTAATGAACATTGACTTATATATTACTAGCATAAGGACCGGGCCGACCGCGCAACTAAATCGGGCCTTGATCGTACCAGTGCGCTGGCTCTAAAATGACAGTTTACTTAGAGGCCCACTCAGTTACTCAGAAAGGCCTCAGAAATGAGGGGAGGCCTGTGCCTAGCAGTGGAACGTATACAGGCTGTAACTTAAACTTTTAACTTTGTTCAAAAAAGTATAAGTACAAATAAAGTATTATTAAATTTGTTATTTTTATTTTGAAGAAATGTTCCAATGGACATAATTTTGTCACTTAGTAAAATTTATTCCTTTCGCACATTAATAGTATTAATTCGCTACTTAAACTAGATACAATATTCAATCTATCAATTTACTATAAACACACTTTATTTTAAAATATTTGGTCACTTAGGTTTCATACATTTTTTAAACCTTATATTGTGAAATGGGTGGAATTTATTTAGTTGTGGCCGTGATGAATAAGAATGTAAAAAAGTAATTTTGTTAATAAGCGTGTCTATGATAATTTGAAAAATATATATATATATATATATACATGTTATTTTAAAACTTTAATCTTTAACGAACTTGAAAAAAATTATTAATTTATGTATAGTATGTTTTACAACAAAATACTATGTTTTATAAAGCTAAGCTTACCAAGGACGAGTAAACAAGGTACAAAATTCGTCATTTTATGACCAGTTTAATATTGTATGTAATTTTCTTGAAACTGTAAAAGTAAAAAGCAATTATTTTTATCTGTAAATGCAATGTATAATAAATATAATAACACTCACTTTAGATCGTTTCTCGAAATACTTTCTATATTCCTTATATATTTTAATAGTACATGTTGTCTTAAAAACACGTTTAAGTCACGCTCATGCGGGACTTAACTAGCCGATTAATGTACGGTGTGTATTACTTAAGTCACGCAAAAATTTATAATCCATATCCATACTTCTAATATTATAAATGCGAAAGTGTGTTTGTTTGTTTGTCCTTCTTTTACGTCGCAACAGAGCGTCGGCATGGCATGATTTTTTGTATGGGGATAGTTCGGTGGCTATAGAGTGACATAGGCTACTTTTTTCAGCGGAAAAACATATCATTCCCGTGGGAAAATCGAATATGTTGCAAAATTAAATTCAGCTAGGTGGCGCCACCGTGATTCTACAAGAAGGACGACGGTACGATGGACGAACACAGACGGTCAGAATATCTGGATTATAATGTCTTTTTATCAAAATTAAGATAAAAAATGTATAGATCTGTATTTTTCCACGCAGGACCGGGAAGAGTGCGAAAAAAACATAAAATTCGCCAGCTGATTTTCTTCAAACGTTTTGGTGCATTGTAATTCACAGAATAGGCGATAACCTCGCAGACGATATTAAGTAATCCGTTGATGTTCTGCCTACCCTGCAAGGGTTACAGGCGTGACTATAATTATAGATCAGAAATACTATCACCACCTGTCACGCTTTCACCCTTAACTATTACTTAACTGTGGTAGAAACAGTTCTTATTAAGTTTTATTAATAAGCCTTAGTAATAGTTATTGAACGGAAATGAATACAGTTCTTATATGTGGTTATGAATGAATCGGTATTACAGTAAGAAAAATTGTGCAAAATTGTAAGAAAAATATTTTTGAGAGTTCTTATTAACTAACGTATACATAGTTTAAATTGATTCCGCTAGATGTCGTTACTAGGTTTTTAAAACGCGGTAACGAAATGTTTCCTGACATGTACTTAACTCCCGCCGTTGAGCAGCGCGTCAACTTATAGTGCATACGGTACCTATACGCTTAAATTGTTTCTACTTCGTAGCTTATTCGACTACCTGCTTTCGATTTGGTTGTTTGTTATTTGCTTTGTGATTTAGTTAAGGTTGAATGGATTTATATTGGCTTTCATTTTCGGATTTGTGTATTTTCTTGGATCGGTTGTGTTGATTTGGTCGGTATTCCTTTATACATATTTAGACACTGGCTTTGATTTTGGATTTTTTTATTTAGAATCGTGAATTGGTTTTCGTTGTTTTAGGTTGTTTAACAATATTTCAAAGGAATATTAATAGTATAGATAGTGTATACGGTACCTATACACTTACTTCTTTTTTCGTTGGTTATATTTATATTGACTATTGCTTTCGACTTCGGTTTTCTGCGATTTGTTTTGTGATTTGGTTTAAGTTGATTCGATTTTGTGTTTTGAATTGGTTTTGTTATTTTGATTTTAAAGAGTATTTAAAAGGAATATTTATTCCTTTTAGATATTTTGGATTTGCTTTTAAAAAAAATATTTAAAAGGAAATTTAATTCCTTTTAGGTATTTTAACGTTTTTTTATATATAGGTTTTTTGTTACTTCATAATGCCTCGCAAACGTGAGTCCAGCCTTTCAAAAGTATCTTCTCAAAGACAAGCGAAAAGATTAGCTCGATCGCTAGAATCTTTAGAAGATGCTGAACTGAGAAGGCAAGAACAAGCAGAGCGTCAGGCTACTTTTAGAGCATCTGAGACACCTTCTCAACGTCAGCAAAGGCGTTTTGAACAGACAGAGCGTCAGGCTACTTTAAGCACCTTCTCAAAATCAGGAAAGGGGTCTTGAAGAGGCAGAGCGTCAAGCTACTTTAAGAGCTTCTGAAACACCTTCTCAAAGTTAGCGTAGGCGTCTTGAACAGGCAGAGCGTCAAGCCACGAAACAACCAAAGAAACAAACAAAAGAGCAAGCTGAACGTGAATCTACCATAAGCGCATCTGAAACACCAGAACAGACACAGGCGCGAAGAGATGCAAATGCACAGCTCCAAGCTGAATGTCGACAAAATTTTCAGAGAAACAATTGGTCGGTTTTTAATGACGCAGCATTCAATTATGATCCGTTGATTGATTATAAAAATCACAGGTTAGTTGTTATCGGACAGATGGACAAGGCGTGTCGATTTTGTAGCGCTTTAAAATGGAAAGATGAGACCGCAGGCATGTGCTGTTCCAATGGCAAAGTGTCTCTTCCGTTACTTGGAAAACCAGAAGAACCTATGAAAACTCTCTTTTTATAT